TTTTAAATTCATTGCTGACCGTCTGGCCCTCCAGCTCCCTTCTATTGTGCATAATGAGCAAGTGGGTTACATCCAGGGTAGGGAGGCAAGAGACAACACGACTAAGTCTATTCATCTTCTGTCTCATGTCCGGAGGACTGGTCTGCGTGCTTGTTCTGTTTTGATGCAGAAAAAGCTTTTGATTGGGTTAAAAAGGGAATTTTTTCGTCTATCTTTGGTACAGATTAGGGTAGGCCCTGTTTTATTGTCTAGGATTCTCTCTCTACACAGTCCAGACGGCCCAGGTTATGGTAAAGGGTGCAAATCCAATCCTCTCGCCATCTCTAATGGAACCAGGCAGGGATGCCCCTCTCCCCACTCCTCTTTGTCATTGAATATCTGGTGCAGGCTGACAGAATTCTTCCATCATGGGGATTTTGACTACCTTGGGTGACCACAAACTTTTTGTACACCTATTATTTACTCCTGTATATTCAGCAACCTCACACTAGCTTGCCTTCCCTGTTCTTGGAGTTCCGTAGATTTGGAGACTTTAGCAACTTCAAAATTAACTTGTCCAATGCTGAGGCCTTGAATATCTCTCTCGACTGCGAGCCAACTTTCCATTCAATGGCAATCTCGATCCATTTCTTATTTGGTAGCTATCTCTAAAGATCTGTCGGACGTATTACCGTGCATCTATGGACTTCTTCTGACTAAAATTTATGTGCAATTGGACTCTTGGCAATCCATTAATATGTCTTGGTTCGGGAAAATGCATGCAATTAAGATGGACATTTTAGATCGGCCCTAATAGGCAGCCCTACAGCCAACTGAAGGAGCTTGCACAGCAGACTGGCAACACTGCTAAAAATTAAAAGACAGTGGGTAAACAGAATGTAGCAGGATCTTTTAATCATTTACAATGGATCATTTACAATGGATGCTGCACCTTGATGTGTAAAAGTTTTAGTTTCCTTTATAGTCCTGGGTCGATTTCTCTTGTTTATACCCGTTTGAACTCCCAGACCGAACCTCCTGTACGACCATATCAATCTCAATGGTAAGCTGATGTGGGTGCCCCCATCTCTTCTGAAGACTGGCAGACTGTTTGGCCACAGGACAGGGTTCTAGGAACATTTTAATTTTGGAGAATTTTTATAAAAGTAATTTATCGCTGGTATTACACTCAGACTAGGTTTGCTAGCTTTATCCCAGGTTACTCACCTCATTGCTTTCGGTGTTGCCCAGAGAGGGGCTCCATGTATCATATATGGTGGCCCTGCTCGGGGGCCAGACACTTATGGTTTAGGGTCTATAATCTCCTCCAGACCTTGGTCTCCGTAGATCTTGCTAGAGACCCGTGTGAAGCCCTCCTTAATAAGTCTATTTCCAATATGCCTAAACGGAGACGCCTTTTAACTTGTCATGTCTTTACCGCTACTAAGTTGCTTAAAGCTAAATCATGGAAGACCGACCAAAATTGAGTTTTGAGGAGGTCAAGCAAAAACTGCAATGGATAATGGTTAATGAGAAACTGATGGCCATCCTAAATGACACCCACGCAAGCTTACTCAAAGTTTGGGAACCTTGGATATGCCACTTTCAAAATCCACGTTTTGACCATAACTTTGTTGACGCTTTAGTCCATCTTAACCTTTCACAAACATACAGGCTTCTCCCTGTGATTTAGTTATTATCCCCCTTAGCCTTCTTTCTAGTTGTTCTTTGTTCGGTTGTTCCTTTCCTTTATCCTTTCTCTACCCTGTTATTTCTCATCTTTCCTTTACCTGGGGATTTCATAGTTTCCCATCTACGACACCTTCATTGGTTTCTTTCTCCACAGCCCTCCTGGCTGTTATATGCATTTACCCGTTTATGGGTTTGAACATTGTATTTGTTTGCTCTTTTTTTGAGATCCTCAACATTTTGTATATCTTTACTGAAGTTCCTTGTTTTATTGGTACTGTTATTGTTCTTTGTTTTTATGCTCAATAAACCTTTTGTGGAAAAAAACATTTTTTTACTTTCCTGCAGAATCAGCTGGTCCCTTGAGCACTGCTCCCAATATCCTCCTGTGCTAGGGTGGCTCCTTTTTCTTGCAGGGTCCCATGGTGCCACCCTTGTGTGTGCTAGTAAGCGTGTGTGTGTCTCTACAGCCAAAGCAAGCCATTCCCGATCCCTGCTTTTTCCTTCTCCAAGCTAGTAAGTGTACAGCTGCTGGGCACTGCTCTGTCCCTTGTGATCAAGTACTTCAAGTTCACGGAAGCCAAGCTGAGAGAGTTGGAACCAGCTGTTTGGAAACCTGGTGCATTGACAGATGAAGTGATGTAACCACAAATATCCCAATACAGGGTAAAAAGCCCGGGAGGGTCATGCCTGAAAATTGTAGTTTGTTATGAAGACAGAATTGAATTCAACTTTGACTGGATGAACTTTAACAGACTTTAAATAAAAAATTGTTTCACAGGAACAAATTACAAAGTATCACTTAGGTGGGACATGGTGAGGTGAAAAAGTTGGTTAGGCTAAGAATCCATTTTGTATTCATGTTCTAGACTTTATTTTGTTTCTCATCTTTGGAACAAAAAAAGCCTCTGTTTTTTTATCTCTGCATTAGTCTTGTTTCTTTGGTTCACAAGTGTTGCCGAACTTTGTCTTTTAACAACGTTCTGGCCTTATGAGCTGTAGATAAAGTGACCAATACTCCCAAATATGGAATAGTTTCAGACTCCACAGTCAGCTCACAACAGAAAACCACAAGAATAGGCTTGGTTCCTTAAAATTAATGTTTCAATTTGACCAGGTTTCTTTGAAAATAGGTATTAAAATAAGGCAATTATGGGTGTGACTTAGTGGTTTTAGAGTTAACCATCTCATTGCTGTGATAAATAATTGATTATTGGATGATTTGTATTTCCGTGCCTACCCAGGGTGAGATGTCACTTAAGCTTTGCTTAAAAATTCCTGTTGTGACGTAGCAGAATGTTTGTCTTGACATCGTGCCCAATACGCATTGAATAAACTTATGACAAGCACTCAAATCTCAGTTCCTGGTAATCCTGCCAGGACAATGGTACCTAACCTGTGCGGTCCCAGGCCATTTGCGGCTGCTCAGAACCAGGAACTTTCTACCACATATGGTGAACCTATCCTACTGCACAAAGACTTTGGTGTCAGGTTTATGGTATATTGCGCACGCTTCTCCAACAACCATTTCCTATTAAATCAAGTGAAGCGCTCATTAACTTGAAACCGGATGGCATTTCAAAGGCACCAATGTATGCTTATGACCCATGTTCTCACACCCACGAAACAGCCAAACTTCACTGGGGAATGCCAGCTCAAATGTAAATACAGTATGCAGTGGCTGGAAGCAAAAGCCAGCCTCCTATTGGCCATTTTAAATTACAATAGCAGGCTGGCTATTGCACCCGCCCACGGCCTACTGTCAATCAGCAAAGGAGGGAACTGAAGGAGAAAGTTCTCCTTCAGGTCCTCCGCTGCTGGTTGACGGCAGGCAGGCGCAATAGCCAGCCTGCTATTGGCTATTTTAAATTACAATAGCAGGCTGGCTATTGCACCCACCCACGGCCTACTGTCAATCAGCAAAGGAGGGAACTGAAGCAGAAAGTTCTCCTTCAGGTCCTCCTCTGCTGGTTGACGGCAGGCAGGTGCAATAGCCAGCCTGCTATTGGCTATTGCAATTTAAAATATCCGATAGCAGGCTGGCTATTGTTTCCAGTCGCTGATGTTGATTGATGGAAAACTGGCAGAAGAGGGGGCATGGGGAGCAGAGAAGGAAACGGGAGAGGCAGAAGAGGAGGAACGAGGGGCAGAAGAGGAGGAGGAGCGAGGGTAGGGGCAAGAGAGGAGGAACGAGGGGGGAAGAGGCGGAACAAGGGTGGGGCAAAAGAGGCGGAACAAAGGGGGCAAAAGAGGCGGAACAAGGGGAGGCATCGAGGAAATGCAAAGGCACAGCGGTCCCTCCTCCCCGCTGGTGCTGGCTGCAGAGGTCAGTGTACCCGCTGACTCTGCTGATACAGGCAGGGGGAACAGCGGGGATTAAAAAGGGACACAGACCGCTGCATCCAGCACCAGCGGGGAAAATATTATTATTATTTATTATACATAGAAGGGATCCATTGGTAGAATTAGATTTGAGTGTAAAGGTCCGCTTTAATCCCACAGTCCCATGTGATTAGCGCATCATACGTACTGCACGTTGTGGCACGATTGATTGCATAGCGGACAAGGTGCGTTTCGGGGGGCATTCAAATGATTGGCAACGCACCTCCTGCACTATTTATGGCAGGTCACACAGAACCGTGCATTTAACGCATCGCACCAGTGTAAATGGGTCCTAAGGTAACACCTCCACTGTGGTTAGATAATGGATAATGTCATCTTTTCAGTGTTCAAGACACATGCTCAACTTTGGTTTGCAAATCAACTTCAGTTCTTCAGTTTGAACTTTGTATGCTGCTTGATCTGCTCCCACACTACCCACCCAAACTGTATCTTAATATTCAACCTGAAACCATTGCTGTCTATAGTGTTCAAAGGTCTGCATAACAACCACGGTCTTAATATCCAACTATTTTTTTTTAAACTTGGATCATCAATAGCTTTTATTTTCTCCAGCTGTCACTGGTGAAACAAGCCTGGAAGATGCAACCTGGCAGTCACCATGCAGCACAAATTCATCCTCACCATTAACAGCTCTGGAGAAGATAGGGTGTTTCTCTGGTAAGACTTCTGCCTATCTTCAGCAAAATGCTGGGACCAGCCTATTATATCTTTTTGACTCAGCTGGCATGTGGGCTGCATGTAGTCATATGTCACCGCATCATCTGCAATTCCTATAATTAGAGTAAATTAACAATTTGTTTCTGTACATCCACAACAAAAAGGAGAAACCCGCTCCCATCATGTGCAAGAAAAAGGAGGGAGCCTTTTAAAAGCAATGAAAAGCAGACATATTAACTCATTTGTCACAAAAGAAAGTAATGATTGTTTACCTGTTCTGTTGCTGTTGGGCAGTAACATGCTAACACTACTGTTGTAAAGATATTGACAACAAGTCCTAAAATGGTGATGAGGTTAGGTGCAATCCACATTGGAACCTGTGCTACCAACCATTCCCAAAATCCTTGCATTAACGGCTCCAACAATGATTTTCCACAACTTTTGTAACGATGTTCCTCCAATCTCTTCAACTGATGCCGTGATAGTGGAGGAGTTGGCAATTCTACAAACTTGCTTAATGCGTACATTGTTCTGGGAGTGTGCTCACAACCCAAAGAACGTTCTGAATGATTTTCCACACATCGTCTCCTTGATGACCTTTGGGTACTCATGAGGTTTAGATTCTGGCGTCAATCCAAAGAGAAATCTTTGATGCAAAGCAGAAAAACAAAAAAAAGTGTGAAATTTGTATACAAAATTATTATTTTTTATAAAGTGTAAACATTATAGAATAAATTTAAACTCCATACAAGCCATTTTACAATTAGAAGTTGTGAAACACTCTTTTTTTTTTTTTCTTCAAACTGCAGCCATCCAAGATGTTCTTTAACTGTCAAGATAACTTTGATGCTTCTCATCACACAATGGTGACAGGCTATAAAGGATCACTAGTTTTTAGTGTCGTGTTAAAAGCAGTATATAAAAAGAAGAGAGTCTTAACACTAAAAGGTGCCAATACACTAGACAATTATCGTACGATAATCGCGGGTGATCCCGTGATCATACGATAATCGTAAGGTGTATGGGCAGCGTGCGACTGCATACTGATTTTCGTATTACAAGCACACTGGTAGCACGATGGCAAGACGAAAGCCGCATGACCCGAGGTGTGCAAGCGCACACTGACCGCTCACCATTGCAATCATCTGTAAGCCCTCAGCGGGGAGGACTTGCGATGATCGCAAGTATGATCTGCCTGTCCAAGATGGGCAGGTCGTACGAACTTTTAATCACCTTACAACCATCGCACAACGAAAGTCGTGCGATGGTTGTAAGGTGTATGGCCACCTTTAGAACTCTTGCTGCTGGTGACAACAATCTTCACTCTTTTGCAGAGCTACACCAGCCAAATAATTTTCAGCATATGATACATCCTAAAAGTATGTATTACTTGCTGCGAGCTGTATTTTAACATAAGAAGTCGGATGCTGAAGATTCATTGGCTGGTGGCACTGGAGTCACCGAGGCAAGACTGTTAAGAATTATGACTCTTCTTTAATAGGTTTTTTTTTTATTTTTTTTCGATGACTGAGTGGCTTTAAGTTTACGTTTCAAGTTACATTTTAACCACCTTATGTCCAGCCATTATAATTGAAAGTCAGACTCTGGTTTCCTGGATGCAGTTGGGCGTTTTAAAAAGCCCTTGCCCACCCCCATTTGAGTGGGAAACTGTGCACGCACTGTCCATGCGGTTTGCAGCCTTGTCCCATCTCCTCTCTCACACATGTTTTGGATGGGAGAGGAGAGAGAGCTTCACAGCCATCCTCACCAGTAAGCTTTACAGTGGGAAACACTATACGCTGCTACAGACCACAGCATCACCAGTGCGATTCACAGTGTCACCATAGTGATTCCGTCAGTGCGATTCACAGCGTCTTCGGTGCAATCTGCAGTGTCATCAGTGCAATTCACAGCATCATTAGAGTGATTCAAAGTGTCATCAGCAGGCTTCAAACATTTTCTGAATTTTAGGGTGTCTCACCAGTCAAAAATTTCACCAGTCAGCATGACCAGACTATAGCCATGCAATTTAGGTTGACATTTTTTTGGGGACAAAGCTTTCCTTTGGTGATATATAAATCACCACTGGGGGGGGGTATTTTTTACTATATGAAAAAAGTACCGTAAATTTCGAAAAAAAATAATGTTTTCCCTACGTTTTAAAAACAAAAAAACATTCTTACCCATATTTTAAAAAAAATATAAAAGACGGGATCACGTCTGGTAAATGAACATGTCAAACTTTAAAACTGCATGCGTCCGCAAAATCACAAAACAAAATACCATACCCAAAATTGTCCATAGGCGACGGTTTAAAAGCTTTTACTGCTCATCGGTTTAGTGTTATGAGTGATCAATGGCCCTAAAATTATTGGCCACACTCTGACTTCCGAGGTGATATGTAACACGTGAGGCGTAATGGATGCAATTGCCATTTTCACACATAGGCGCACCCGATGCATGTTTGCGTGTGTATGTGGGGGCAGGGGACGTTAAAAAAAAAAAAAAAAAGGGGTTTTTTTTTGTTTTAGGTTTTTGGTAACTTTAATTTAAAAAAAAAAAAATTCACTTAACTTTATTGCTATCACATAGGGGGATAAGAAGTCCCCTATGCGATATCCAATTTACACAGACAGTGTCTCTTTATGGAGACATCAGGGGTCTCTAGGACCTCTTGTCACCTAGGGACCCCAAAGAAGCTGATGAAGCAGAGATCTGCTTCACCAGCTTCTCTCCAGCTACAGAAGCTGGAGAATGACAGCTGAATGCGGAAGTGATGCAATATACATCACTCCTGCATTCAGAGAAGGAGGAGGAGGAGATCATGTGATGATCTCCCGCTGACCTCCGGTGACAGAGCCAGCCTGCCGGTGCAGAGCCCTCACCAGACACAATGGGAATCGGCAGGGGGGGCACACCCGCACGCATTATACAAGCAATCCAGCGGCTCTAGAGCTGCCGGACAGGTTGTATGTAAACAGCCATCCAAGAAGCTCCCGGCCGGCCGTTTAATTACAACAGCTGGCCGGTAAGTGGTTAAACCAGTGCGAGCTGCTGCACGTCCGGCTCCAGCATCCTCTCGTCACAGGTGAGAGGATGAGTTCATTTTCAAGCCCTGGTCATCGGAATGATTCAGTCATCGGTGTCATGCACTGCGTCATCAGTGCCACATTTGCAGCACATATCACCATTCAGTGTCACTAGTGACAGCAGTACAAGCCAGTGTCTACCACAGTGCCAGCCTAATAGCACAAAGCAGCGTGCCACGCTCACAAAGCTTGTCGGCACCAATCAGCACCTCTGATTGTCATCTTAAAAAAAAACTGTATCATCAGGTACCGGTACAGCACAACATTGTAACAGTGTCATCTAGTGCCAGCAAGAACCAGTCCTGTATGTTCAAGTATACCCAATACTAAAAATGTGTTTTTTTTAAATGTACACGAGTGAGGAGGCATTTAAAATTCTCAGTATGTGGCATAACAGTGACGGAGACACCTCATTGTCAGATTCTGGATCAGAGTATGAACCTGTTGAAAGCAGCGGTTCAATATCCACCTCTGATTCAGAAGAAGTTGTCCCAGCTAGAAGAACCAGGTGTGCTGTCCGACATCCAGCTGAAATGCAGCAGGCAAGCACCAGCAACGCCGCTCATCCCCATGCAGTGGCAAGCACCAGTGGTGCCGCTCATCCCTATGCAGTGGCAAGCACCAGTAGCGGGGTGATCCATGATCAGCCACGAAGAATTGGGCCTCAGAGGAGTCCATGCCAATGTACCAGAGGCATTTTCATATCTCTTGTGGCTACCCTCCAATTCCACAGCACCTGCCAATCCCCCCTTTACTGCCCTTCCAGGAGTCCAGGTGAAAACTGGGAATTTTACCCCAATCCAATTTTTTTTTTAGAATGAAGGACTACTTTTCAATTTAATTGTCGACTAAACCAACTTTTACTATGAACAGTTCATTGTAAAAAAAAAAAAAAAAAAAAAATCAAATTCCTCCTATTCCAGACCATTTCAGTGGAGACGTCAGTTTCTGAATTTAGAAACCTTTCTTGACCTAATGCTCAATATGGGGCTCGCCAACGAAAATGAGCTTCAGTCATACTGGTCTACACCCCCAATCCACCACATGCTGCTACCATGTGAAGGACAAGATATAAAATGATGAGATTTCTTCATCTCAGCAACAATTTCTCAGCAACCACCAGATTTTCTCAGCAACCACCAGCAAAATATCTGTACATTTTATAGGCAGGCTTTCTATAAAAAACAGTATCTCCATAGTAAACGTGCCAGGTATAGGGTGAAATAGGCTTTGCGAAAGAGGCACAGGTTACACATACAATTTCTATGTGTATAAAAAGGGAAGGGATAGCCATTTGGAGCCCTCTGGATGGCCATCATACATGGGAAGCGGTGGAAAAATTGTGTGGGACCTATTGTCATCCTTATTCCACCAGGGATACCACCTCTATGTTGACAATTTGTATAGCAGCATGCCACTGTTCAAGCACCTCTTCCTCAAACAAACCCGAGCCTGTGGTGCAATGCAACCAAATCACATTGGTTTTCCCCAAAATCATGTCCACAGGAAGCTGAAAAGAGGGGAGTCAAAGTTTGAGGAATGAGGAACTTTTAGCCCTCAAATGGAAAGACAACTGGCATGTTTATATGCTTTTATCCATTCACCCAGACACCTCAGTGGAAATCCAAGGAAGATCTGGTCTGGTCTGTCCCAAAAACCTCTGTCCATAAAATACAATCTGTATAAAGGGTGGTGTAGATTTCAATGACCAGATGATGCAGCCCAACTTGGCACCAGAAGATCCATTCACTGGTACAAACATTTTTCCATTTATCTTTTTCAATTGGCTATGTACAATCCATATGTACATTATAAGCCTGCAGGAAGAGCTGGCTCTTAGCTAAAATATCAAGAAGAAATTATTAAAGCCCTGATTTACCAGGAAGGCCCTGCTTCTGAAAGGCTTCAGTCTGATGCAGTTAGCAGGCTACACGAGAGACACTTCCCCGATCTGATCCCTTCCACCCAAGTAGACCACATCCCCCCAAAAAAAAATCTTTGCTTGCCTCCTGAACTGATCCTTGCTTGGTTGTCAACCATGTTTCTGCCACATTTCTGACCTTGGCCTGCTTACGGACTACAGTCTCTGCCTGCCGCAGGAGCTGACCTTGGTCTGCATACTGACCATGTCTCTACCTGCCACATTTCTTCCTGCTCCGTCATGACCCATCTGCATGACCGACAATATTCCACCCAAAACACCAGTCCCAGCCAAATCTTCTGAAGACAGCTGCACTCCTGGAACCACAGGTACTCTTTTGTTTACCTTTTGTCCAGCTTCCTGTACTTCCTGGTCACTGAACATAGCATTGCGTATAATTCCTGGGGTTAGCCAAGTACCAGAATGCCTGCTTGGCTGGGGAAATGGGTTCTGTTAAAGATGAAGAAGCTACACTTTGAAAGCTTAATGGTGCTTCCTGCTATTTACGCTCCTTTCTCTCTGGGGCTAGACTGCAACAAAAGTCTTACATGTGTGGTATTCCCATACTTGGGAGGAGTAGCAGAATGTGTAATGGGGTCTAATTCTGAGTTTGTCGATGCTGTGCGTTAATAGCTT